GGGCTCCCCGCCCCGGAGCCGGCGGAGGAGGAACAGGGGCTGCAGCTGTGGGCCTCATGGCGTCGAGGGTGGGGGGGAAGGGTATCTGGCTCCTCAGGGATTAATTAACTACAAACAGCGCTTAATAATGACGACTCAGACTGCCATTGCAACGAGGAAAGCAGCAAGAGGAGCCGGGCTGCTCACGGGCAGGGGAAGGTGGGTGGTGTGTCCTCTCCTGGGGGGAGAAGGCAGGAATAGCTTATGCTTCAGTCAAAACTGATCGCATTGGTGGCCTTTAGCATACTTAAAAATAAGTAAATAGTGCAAACCCACGTAATTATTCAGAGGAGAGAGGGTCGTTATCGGAGTTGCTGCGCTCAAGAGTTTTAAATTATTTTGGGGGACTCCTGGAGTCTGGCCACAGGCGCTCCTATCACTTCTACAAGTTTGATAAATAACACACTGAGTTACTTTACAATCAGTGGCTTTTCCAAATACTTCGCATTTCTTCGCTATTTTTATCTTGCTGACTGACTGAAATAGCAGATTTGAGTTTGAATGTGGCAATGAAAGAGACTGTTTTCAGGAAAGAACATCTGCAGTTTGCCAGATATCAACAGATGGCAGAGTATTTTTATTTTTCCTCGTGTACACTTAAACACACTGCCGAATTAATAATAAAGCCGAGACAACATTTTGGTGACCATTTTAAGGCTATCTTCCCACAGGCATTGTGGTTAGTAACTTCAGATGAAATGATGATCTGCAGTTCTCAATTAACCACAGAGGCAAGGAAATTAATGGCAGGGAAATGGTAAGAAAGACCACACTAAGGTCTGGAGATTTGATGTTTCTCCCTTTTGAGCGCACAGGGATTTTTTATTTTCCAAAGGTGATCTAGGGATTTTTTTTTTTTTCCTCTAAAATCCCTTGGTTTTGCCATGGTGCAGAGCTCCTAACAGCTGGGAATTTAATTACTTAGGGCAGTGATTGCGGAGGGTATCAAGTGAGTCTTTGCTGCGAAAAAAAGATGGCAATGCCCCTGAAACACTACAGATGCCAGCTAGGAGAGTTGCACCTGAATTTCCATGCTCTGCTGACTCCTGCACAGTCATTGCAAGACCTGCAGATCAGCCATGCAATTTCTTTCCCCCCCCAGCAATTGTATTTTTCCTTCTGAAAGGAGCTTGACCCCATTACACATCATACAGGGCTCAAGTATCAAATGGTAGTGGTTATTTAAGTATTTGGATCCTGTGGAAAAGCTCCTTTCAAAACTCCAGCTGTGACTGACAAAAAGTGTGTTTGCATCAGTCCAGAAAGGGCTGATCTGCAGGAGAAGAAGTAAGAAAGGAATGTTGGATGTAGCTGATCTGGAATTATTAACATAATGGAAACTGCAAGCTAGCCATGTTTGAGCCAGAATTGTAAGAATGAGTGTTCTGTGGGCTGCATACAAGTACTGGCACTGACCAAAGAGAAGCAGTGAGTGCTCCCTTCTTGTATTGAGCAAGTTGGTTCAGTATGTGTCTGCCGCGAATGAGTAGTTGTAAATAAAACCTGGAGGGTTTTACAGTGTGGAGCATGCTGTCCAGCATAAATGTCCCTTGTGTCCCTCTCAGATAATTTATGCCGCCATGTTGTGAGAAACGCTCGCTTATAGTTAAAAATGTAGAGAGGACAAAGTCTTCGAAGCAAAGACAAAAGTTTATTCAGGATCAAAATAAATGAGTCAGGCGCATCTCAAAAAGAGCACACTTAGCTACAAAACTTCAGGTATTTATGTCCTGTCCCCTTTTCCCATTGGTTAGGTACTTTAGGGCGCACATTCTTTCACGACCCGTTAGCCTATCACAAACTCAATTCACATTTTTCTCCTTTTAAGGAGTTGTTTTTCTAAGTTACACAGCTCTGCTTGTGCCGTCGACACACAAAATGGCTGTTCGTAGCCCTGCTTGTGTCATTGACATACAAAATGGCTGAAGCAAAACAATTCCATCTCTCACAATGTCTAACCTTCCATATAATGTGACGTTCACATGAGGAGATGTGCCAGCTGATGGGCATTTGTTCACAAAGCTGACGAGGGAGCCAGCAAGGCCTCCTGTGAGGGGTGCGATGAGTCTGGGGGTGGTGTGGGGCCGCTCCAGCTTAGTGGTACGCAGCACCACTAAGTGAAGTCTGCCAGCCAGAGCAGAAGGGCATGGGTGCCTCTCTTCTCGCCTCCACCAAGGTGGTGCTGTGGCTGCATTGTGCCCCTCAAAGCCCAGGCGTCACAGCTCACCTGGGGAATGCAAGCAGCAAAAATAAATTAGGGTTGGACTAGATGATCTCCAGAGGTCCCTTCCAACCCTAACAATTCTGTGAATTCTGTGAAATCGGCCCCTACAAGGACAGAGTCAGAAAGTGCTGATGAAACCATGAAGGCAGGAACATATGTGACTTTGTCCCCAGTTCTTTGGGAAGTATGCTGTAAAAAGGGTGTTATTCCTGGCATAGGAGAGAGAACCTTTACTGGCAGTGACTATGGTGTTGCTTTGTGTGCTTCTCAACACATGATGCCATCAGGGCACGGCAAGTTGACAGAGATGTGCAGTGCCCCTTTGCCAGGCAGTAGGGCTCAGCAGGGAGCCCCTGGGAGCTGTGATGTGGTCCTTTCCAAAACCTGAGCACCAGTATCCCTCACTGTCCCGTGCTAAAATCGCAGGTTTGCAGTCAAAGAATGCTTTTTTTTCCCAATTGGTTTTTTTTTTTCTTCCCTCAGTTTTCTCAGTTGGAATATGAGCTTTTTAAGAAGTGCCAATATCTCAGGGTCTACAGATACTTGGAACAACTCCTTGCTGTGTCTTTTGGATTCAGACAATAGCAGCCAGTGCTAGGATTGCCAGCTGACATGAACAGAAAAGTGGCACTTTGCCTCTTTCTGTAAGTAGCAGGTCAAAGAACTCAAAACTGTGAGTCTTGTGACCTCTCCGGGGTGTCTGCTGAGCCTTGCACAAACAGAGCTTCAGCAAGTGCAAAATGAAAACTGCCAACGCTGGAGTGGTATGTGTCTCCTGACATACATGTTCTCCCAAGTGCAGGTGCATGCTTCCTGTCTGGTGCCATCTCTGTGCACCTCGGAAATACATACTATACTCAGAACATTTGAAAGACTGACAGCAGGGTCTGCTACACACCTGGGCTACTCGTTCTTCTCGCCCTGCTTGGATTTCCCCAGTTGCCCATCCCTGCATGCTCAGTTTCCAACTTTGTCTGCTTCCTGCCTGGTTGCCTCTTGCTCCCCTCTTCACAGGTTGGGTTTCTCTTTCTCTTTCTGTTTTTTTTGTTTTTTTTTTTTTTTTTTTTTTTTTGTGAAGAGCCTGGCAACTTTTCCATTCAATAGTATTGTTAGACAGGTAAAGCCATGATAAATTTGAACCAATTCTACTTTTAATCAAAGCTAGCTCATTTTACATTCTCTCCTTAGATGAGCTCTTCAGATGTTTGCTTTCTGGAGCAACTGGAGGCACCTGCAATGGAAATGTGGAAGTTAACAGGTGGCAAGGACCTAGCTGCCCAATTGCTCCTTTAGCCCTGAAAGGCAGATCCCTTGGATGGGTTTGCTCAGCTCAGCTGAGGCAGTTCTGGTGGGATCACTGCGCAAAGTGTGATGGCTGACCCGCATCAGCCTTACTTTGCACTTTTGCTGAGCTGCAATGATGCATGGATGACCTTGCTTGTCCCTGCAGCAGCAGTCCCACATTCTGAAGGGGGAGGCTTTTGTTGTCACGCTGTTTGTGGCCCTGACATACCTCTGCTATTTCTGCTTGCACCCCTGGTACTGGCGACTCCTAGGCTGATGCACCAGCAAGCCCAGCCATCTCTCCCCAAAAAGTTTCCACATGGTGCTCAATCAGGAACTCCGCCAGCCACATCACTTGCACACAGCAAGCCATTGGTTTCCACCTACGTGGCTGAAAACGGGTCAAACAGCCTTTCCTACTCCTGATGCTCACTTCTGCACAGAAAGCTGCAGCTGTGGGGCTGCTCTGCCCAGCACCTTCCCCATGAGCATTTGCTGAAGAGAGGACCTTTGAACGGTACCAAAGCCGGGTACCTTTGAACAGCAAAGCTCAGGTGGGCTCAGAAGGCTGTAGCCAGCTGGTAAACACAGCGTACCTTCCCCATCTCCTGCTCCAGGACATCCAGGGGGAGCATGTGCTGCTTGAGTGGGCTGAGCAGGTTTGGCCCCATGCACATGGCCAGGTTGCCGGCAGTCACCCTGCTGGTGTCCATGTTTCTGCTGATGTTTTGGAGCAGGGTGAACAAGTGTTTGCATAGGAGGAGGTTGGCCTTGGGCAGCTTGCTGGCCAGCCTGAGGGAATGGGAACACAATGTTAATAAAGTAGATGCTGTCAACACAGGCCTTCCAGGCTGATCTCACCCAACCCCTTCTGAGGGAAGGCTCCCTGGCCACACCTGGTCTACAGTAGAGGGACTGCCTTCACTGAGAAACGGCCACCTGCCTCCTTCCCCGCTCTTGAGGCAAGAGTCCTTTGTGGAGCAACCCCCAATGCCTGTGGGGAGTGTTCCAAAGAGAGAAATGTTTTTCTATGCCACTTTCCCCCAAAACCTGACCCCACAGCAGCAAGAGGCGGCTGGCAGAAAACACAGCTTTTTCAGGCAGGCTGTCGCTTTGCAGGCAAGTCTCGGCCTCTGCCAGTCCCTGCAAAGCAGGCAGGCTGCTGGCCACACTTACTCTTTCAGTCCTGCCAGCTTCTCCTGCCTGCTGGTCCTCTGCAAGGCGCTCATCCACACCTCGTAGAGCTCTGCCTCAAGGAGCTTGGAGGAGATCTTGCAGAGAAAGTCCTGCGATGCCAAGGGCTCCTGGTGAGGCTTTGGCCACTCCCACCAGGAGCACAAGCAGCATCCCAAGCACTCTGCCTCACGAGCAGGTGGCTGGGTTTTGGTTCCTGCTCTCACAGGTGCCCATCGGCACTGACAGAACCGGGAGTTGCCGGGCTCCAGGTCAGCAGGGTTCACCTTCAAGATGATGGCCAGCAGGTGCGCAGTCTGGCTTTCGAAGTGGACCTCCGGTCCGCTGTCAAGGGCATCCCTGAGCTCCTGGGAGGCGTGCTCACCAGCTGCCAGCTGAAGATCCCCTCTGTGGATGCCTGTGCTCATGCAGGAGAGCCATCAGGTCCTGCAGGGGACAAAGTAGGACAGTTGCTTGGCTGGAGACAGGCCTTTGGGCAGGTCAGCCTTCCTCAGGGGCAGGAGCAAGTGTTGATGGCTCTGCTTTCAGTAGGGCAGGATGGAGGGGTGGCTGGAGGTGGGTGACATGGGGAGGAGCTGGCTTTGTCACCGAGACCTACCTCACGTCCCTTTGCTTGGGACACCACCTCTCTAGAGGAGCTAGACGGATGGGGATCACCTGGCCACGCTCGCTTACCTGGATGGGCTGGGCAGCGAGCCATCCAGGCTGCAGAGATCCTCCCTGCCACCAGAGACGAATGGCCTAGGCACCTCTGCAGTGGCTGAGGTCCCTCGCAGTGCAAAGGGCCAGGGCAGCCCCGTCCTCCTGTGGGTCCCACCTGCTGCCAAGGAAAGGAGAGCAAAGACCCGTGGAGGAGAAGCACCCAGGCTCTCCCGGGCCCTCTCAGCACTGTCCCCCCTGCCACCAAAAGCAAGTATTGTTTGGGAACGAGGATCCCTGGGGGTCAGCGCTCTCCTGCCACACAGCAATGGGGATGGATGTGCCCTGCAGGAAAGGCAGCAGCAGCCCCAGTGCAGCACAAGTGCCCACCTGCCAGAGGAGGAGAGAAGGCCCATACTGTCCCCTTTGTCTCCAAACTCACCATCCAAGTGGCCAAGTCCACGTTGGCTGCCACAGGGGACGGGAGGTGGCTGCTGCTTGGGACCAGCCTGCAAGAAATGTGCTGCGCTCATCGAGTAGCCCTGCAGCAGAAATGGCCCACGGGGAGCTGCATCGGCCCTGTGCCATGTGTGAGAGGTGAGGACAGCAAAGATTGCACCCTGAGTGATCCTCACCTTTGCCTGGCTCTCAACCAGCCTTTCCAGGCTGATAGCATGTAGTGTCATAGAGCAGAAGGTGAGACATGATGTACCTGATGCTGGGCTGGAGCAGCCTCTGGAGGCAGAGTGGAGACAGGAGGGATACTCAAAGCATTGCAGCAGCTCAGCCCCTTCAGCAGCAGCTTGATGGAGGGCAGCTGGATCACCCAAGCTCCCTCTACTCCTTCTGGTGGCCTCTGCACAGGAAAAGGGCAGAGAAAGAGCTGTGTGAGACCCAAGCCACCTCTCCTGCCAGCCCAGGGAGTACTTCCAAGCAGCCCTGTAGAAGCCAGGTACTGCCTGGCAGTTAAGTGGAGAGCAGCAGCAGTGGTGAGGATGGGGCTGGGCAGATGTTGGCTGGACACAGCTGGGCAACGCAGCTCCACCAGCTCTGCCTGCTCAAGAGCTGCCCGCAGCCATGAAGGCATCTCTCCCCAGCTGGGGAGCAGTGTTTCTCCATTGCACAGCTATGCCTGGAGCATCCTCCACGATGCGAACATGGGTTCCCCAGGCTGCACTGCCAGGCAGGGCTTACCCAAGGAGCGCACTGAGCCAGAGCTCCTTCACCACTCAGGAGCTGCAGAAAGAGAGGAGAAACAGCCTGAGTGCCTGCTGCTTCCCAGCCTGCGGGCAGAGGTGCGTGCCAGCCATGCCCTGCCCCATGAGGATGGCCACAGAGGCAGGACAAAGCCCTGTGGGGCAGGACAGAGGTGCTGCCCAGCCCTGCCGTGGGACGTGGCACCGAGACTGACTGGAACATGATGACACAGGAGCCACAGGGCCAGATGAGGATAAGGGAGTTGGTGTGCTTGCCTTGCTCTTCCTCAGCAGCACCCCCAGCTGCCCCCTTCCTACTGCTTGCACCTGCAGTCGGCCCAGGGCCAGGCAGAGCTGCAGGCCCTGGGCGCTGACATGACTGCAGAGTGTGACCTGGAGGTGATTGAGTCCGGTGGCTCCCCTCTCATGTCCTCTTGCCACGGGCATGGCCATGGGTGCATCCAGCACCAGGGTGCTGGGGGCCTGGGGCTGCTCCTTGGGCGTCCCTGCCCTGGTGCCAGGGCCAGGGCTTGGGAAGAAAGGCAGCTGGGGTCTGCAAGTCTTTCTTGGCCTTGGTGGTGACCAAGGCATCACTGAAGAGGAGGAGGTCCCTCTGCCTTGTTGCATGGCCCTGGGTCACCTGCACACACTGGTGGAGCAGTGGCTTGGGTGATGCTGGAACGGGCATGCACTGCTGCCTGGGGTTGTCCCTGCAGAGTAGATGGTGTCGGGTATGAGAAAGGTGGCTGCTCTGGGGCCCGGCTGTGCTGGCATGTCCCCAGCCCACAGGGGGAGGTCGCCTGTAGCCACGGCAGCAGTTCACCTGGCCCATCCCACCAAGGCCAGGAGAAACCTTGCGTGGGACACACTAGTGGGGCATGGCCTCACCAGCGCTGAGCAGAGGGGAAGAGTCACCTCCCTCCAGCTGCTGGCAGTGCTTTGCCCAGTGCAGCCCAGGGTACCACTCGCCACCACCTTTGAGCAAGGACACCTTGCTGGCTCCTGATCAATTTGGTGTCCACCAGGGCATAAACAGGTTGGTTGAACCTCTGGGTGTTGCACAGTCCAGCCTCCACACTGAAAGTAAATCACATCTGTTGCTGTATTGTCTTGACAGCTCTGGAAACTTCCAAGATAAAAATGTAATAGTTTGTCTCAGTTAACTGCCTTCCAAGTAAATAATTTCTTTCATGATGTCCTCTTTGGACCCCCGAAGCCACTTCTATCACTTTCTTGTTGCATTGCCTACCACTACCAAGGAGAGTTTAGCTCTGTCGTACAAAATGGAACGGAAGGCCCAATATGTAGACCAGACCCGCTATATAGGGAAGTTTGCTGCCTCCCCGGGGCCTGGGTTAATGATGTTAAGAAGAAGCTTCCTTCCCTGGTGAAGCAAACAGATTATTATCCCTTTTTAGTTTTTCAGTTAGGCAGTGATGATGTAGTGAGAAGAATGCCAAGGACAATGAAGAAGGACTTCGGGGCCTTGGGACGACTAGTTAAGGGATCGTGAGCCCAAGTCTTGTTTTCTTCTATCCCTCCTGTTGCAGGGAACGATGAGGGGGTTAACAGAAAAAGCCAGCAGGTCAATGACTGGCTCTAAACTTGGTGCTACTGGCAGGGTTTTGGGTTCTTTGATCATGGCCTGATTTACAGAATACCAGGCCGGCTGGCAGCAGATGGGAAAAGCCTGTCTCGCAGGGGGGAAAGGGTTTTGGAGTAGAGTTAGCAGGGCTCACTGGGAGAGCTTTAAACTAGATTTGAAGGGGGATGGGCATGTAACTGGGCTCACTAGAGAGGTGCCTGGGTGTAGTAGCTCAGCACTTGTGGGGCCGAGTGCTAGTATTTTTGAGGATTGGAAGGCCCACCACCCCTCTAGGGCACAAAAACTACACACTCATTGGCCTCTCTGAAATGCCTATACACTAAAGCACACAGCACGGGGAACAAACGAGGAGTTAGAGATCTGCATGCGGGCACAGGACCATGATCTCATTGCAATTACTGCCCCCGATCCTTTTTGGCAAAGTTGATAGCCAGCCCATTTCTTCCCAGCCAGTACTAATGGAATGGTTTATTCTGCCCAGGGCAGCGCCAAGTGTTTCTCCTTGTTTCTGTTTCTCATTGTTGAACATGTTCAGGCTTCTGTCTGCCCAGTCCTTAAGCTTCTCCAAGTTCATCAGAACTGAAGCTCTACCATTTAGTGTGTCAACCAGCCCCCCTAACTTTGTGTTATCTTAAAAAATGCTGAGGGTGTATCCTGTCCACGTTTTTGATGAAGACAATGAACTATATGAGCCCTAGTATGAAGACAAACTATATGAACCCTAGTATCAACCCCTAGCATACTCAACTTGTTATGGGCCTTAAAGCAGATTGCCAAGCCACCAGTTGCCATCCACTGAGCCTGTCAGCCTAGGCAGTTTTCAATGGGTCTAACAGCCAGCTTGTTCATGCCATATTTCCTCAGTTTGGGAGTGAAAGTCCTGTAGGAAGTTACTTCAAAAGCTGTACTGAAGTCAAGATCTATTATGTCCACTGCTCCCCCCTTGTCCGTGTAGCCAGCTGTTTCATCATAGAATGCAATCGGGTTGGCCAAGTGTGATTTGTCCTTCTCAAATCCATGCCAGCTGTTCTTGATTGCTTTCTTGTCCTTTACAGGTCTCTTTCTATCAGGGCCTCAACAGCTTTCTTTCTGGCTGCAAACTGAATCTTTCTCGTTTTCTGAATGGTTGTCAAATACCTTCTGAACAATCATAAAAATAACACAGAGTAATTTAATAATTTGCATTTTAAATAAGGTGCTGTATCTAGTTGAAAAAAACCCTATTTTTAAAGTTAGCTGATAACAGATATTTGTCTTTTACCCCTTCCTGAATCTTTCTATTCGATGCACATGTTTAGTATTCATAGCCCTTTACATCCAGTAATCCATTTGCTTTTGCAAATTCTTTAACAATTCTTTTAATATGACTAAGTCTCGTACACACATGAGGAGGCACAATTTTAAATTTTGTTATGTGACATCTTTGCCACTGGTGTCCTTAAGACACATTTGTAGAATAAACTCTTCTATAACAGTAAGTTCGCAGATGACACTAAGCTAGGCGGGCGTGTTGATCTGCTTGAGGGTAGGATAGCCCTGCAGAGGGATCTGGACAGGCTGGACCGATGGGCCAAGGCCAACGGTATGAGGTTCAACAAGGCCAAGTGCTGGGTCCTGCACTTGGGTCACAACAACCCCATGCAGCGCTGCAGGCTTGGGGAAGAGTGGCTCGAAAGCTGCCTGGCAGAAAAGGACCTGGGGGTCATGGTGGACAGCCGGCTGAATATGAGCCAGCAGTGTGCCCAGGTGGCCAAGAAGGCCAATGGCATCCTGGCCTGTATCAGGAATAGTGTGGCCAGCAGGACTAGGGAAGGGATCATCCCCCTGTACTCGGCACTGGTGAGGCGACACCTCAAGTACTGTGTTCAGTTTTGGGCCTCTCAGTACAGAAAGGACATAGAGGTGCTGGAGTGTGTCCAGAGCAGGACTACAAAGCTGGTGAGGGGTCTGGAGGACAAGCCCTATG